CTCGCACCAGCGTCATTTCCAAAATAAGGCAGCTCTTTTCAGCTAAAAGGTCTGTGGTGGAACGGTGTAGCATTTAGCAGCTACAAATGTTCCCTCAGGAGTTGGGGGATACTAAACACAGAGCTCAAAGGAGGATGAATATTGGACTTAAATTCATCACACCCCAGATACATATGTTGCTGTATGTGTGATTGATGTTAAAAAGGCACTGTTTGATAACTGTTCGCCATATAAACTTCATATACTGTGACAATGTGTTCATGTTGTGTTCTCATCTTCTTTCACTCACACCAATTACCAGTTTAAAGTAAAACAAGCTTTTACTTTACTGTAAATGTGATTTATTCCGTAATTTAAAAAGGGCAAAAGTAATGTTGTCCAGTTCCACATGCGGGACATTTTAATAGGCTGAGCTGTAGTTTTCAATCAAGACAAACACATATTAGAGTGCACTGTAGTCCTCGATATAATAAAAAATAAAGTGTTTTTGAATGCACTTCAGAGCGGTAAATACCCACTTTGCTTTTCATTGATTTACAGTTAATTTCTGATTCGTTTTATTTGTTTTTTCTTTGTGACTATTAAGGATTTACGTTGTTGTGAAGTGTTTCTCATCTCCTGGCAGAGACACAACTGAACACTTACAGTGACTGTTCTCCAGAGTGATGGTGCCTGCTGGCATTTCCTCAAGGGGCTCCCTGTGTGTGGAGGATTTATCTGCCCCTAACTCACATCAGCACAAGAATCCTCATGGAAAATGTGATCAGGCTTTCAAGTGTAGAGGAAGATTAAGTGTAAGAAGCAAAGTAGAACTCAGGCAAAAGATTTCCATTGTTAAAAGAGAACCCAAAAGTAGTTATTCTTGTGCACTGCCACCCAGTTTTCAAGGCATGCTGAACAAGTCATTTGGGTAATTGACCACTAGAACAAACAAACACACCACTGTAAAATAAACTCCTCATAAACACACTCACACTAACCCTAACATAAGTACAGACCAGATCAGAGTCCTTACTGTCAGCTACAGGCAGTTTTTAGTGTGTAAGTGTAAATCTGCTCTGCAGCATGTGTTCATGTTTCAGCCTGCATGATGATCATACAGCAGTGAGACACTCTCAAACCATCTACAGGCACATCACCACTGTGACTACACACTCACGCACGCGTTATTCAAATAATATGATGGAAAACAAAACAAAAACAGGAAATTCTCACATTACAAAAATGGATACCAGATTGGGTTTGATCTGCATATGATTAATCAACGTATCCTTGATGCTCCACTTAAGTGTGTGCGTGTGTGCGTGTGTTTGTGTCAGTGATTATGTGTTTACTCAACACCAGAACAGAAACTTATCAGTAACCAGAGGTGGGAGAAGTACTCAAATCGTGTACTTGGGTAAAAGTATAATTACCAGAGTGTAGGAATACTCTGTTATAAGTAAAAGTCCTGCTTTCAAAATGTGACTCAATTAAAACTACAAAATTATTATCATCAAAATATAGTTAAAGTACCAAAAGTAAAAGTACTCATTATGCAGATTGGGCAATTTCAGAATAATATATATATTATATGTTTGATTATAATAATTGATGCATTAAAGTGTTATCAAAGCTGGTAAAGGTGCAGCTAGTTGTAATGACTTTGTATACTGCAGGGTACCATGTTAATTTACTCCAGGTGGAACTAACGTCTAATTTAAGTGTTGATTATATTTTACATCATTCATACAAATCTGTAAAGTAACTAAATGTATTAAATGAATGTGTGGTACTTTTAGTACACCATTTACCCTTGAATTGTAGTAAAGCAGAAGTACAAAGTAGCATAATATGGAACTACTCAAGTAAAGTACAAACATCTCAAAATTGTACTTAAGTACAGTACTTGAGTATGTACTTAGTTACTTCCCACCTCTGTCAGTAACATACTTTAAACACTTTCAAGATGTGGTTCTCTTTGGTAGAAGATTAAATCAAAGAGGCGATGAATAGGTTGCTCTTGTGAAAGTATACGTAAAGGGCAAGATTGACATAGCACTTACACTACAGTTGCAGGGCTTTCATTAGCAGCCTGCCACAGGCACAGACTGAGCTCTGTGCACAGAAACGTCCCCCAGATGCACACTGCACTCCCCCCGCTGTCCTCCCCCTCCACGTAAACACAACCGCAGTTCACCAAAAAACAGCTGTAGGATAAGAAGCCTCACATGCATGCGTGTCATAAAAACAATACCAACACAACAAGTTTAATGTCAAATAAGTGAGATATAATACTTTTCCACCAGACAATCTAATACAAAAACGGTTTGACACACCAGCAGTGTTAATACTGTCCAGGGGGTGAATGAGGGTCTTTGTCGGTTCCTTACCTTCATACCCGGAGCAGAGGCAGAGCTGCACGAACAGGAGCACCAGCGGCCACATGTCCATGTCGAGGAGCGGGAGTCTTCAGGATGTGAGGAGGGAGAGCAGGAAGACTTCCAGCGCATTCCTGCCTCCCAAAGGCCCGCCTCTCGCTCCAGAAACAAGGGAGGATTCTCCAAACAGTCAGGCCAGGATAACGGCATGAGGCGGGCCAGAGAGGCTGTGCCAGCCCCTGTGGGTAAACTGTGACATCCACCCGAGTATCACCGCAAGAGAAAATCATGCAAATCACCCCAGTTTTCATTTGTAAACCCTCTCAGGCTACTCAGCAGTAGACACCATTTAGGCCACAGCTACTAGTTACATAAGGAGCCTACAATTTGAGGTGCTTAGTTGGGCTACTTCTCGGTTGTGGAAGAAGAAAGCTACTCAGATCCCTCATTTAAGTAAAAATAGAAACACCATGTTCACTTAATTTAAAATGTTTAAACAGTAAGGAAGTTTAATCAGGAAAATGCACTAAAAGTAGCCTATCAATAGTGAAATCAGGGTTTATCATTATGGAGAATAGCTTATGTGTTGTATTATTTAATTATATATTATTTTGTTTTTCTTCATAACAAATGTATAAGAACATTTAATTGTACAGTTTGGCAATGTGGAGCCAACTTAGATACTCCAACAAGTGTAGCCCAGTGTTGTTAAAAGTACAATATGTATTAGTAATGTTTATTAGGCTAAATAACAGAATGGAAATACTTAAGTGCAAGTATGTCACAAGTATGTAGTGTACTTAATTGCTTTAGTTACACTGCTTCGATACACTCCGTTTATTTACAGTACTTTACTGCAGCATCTGCACAAAGTGTTTATAAGATACTGCAATGTTGTAAATTAAACTAGGGGTGACCAGACTGAGGGCCCGAGGCCTCGATGTCTCAAGATAAATACATTTAAGAGTCATGAAGTAATTAGCTGCATAGAAGAAAATCATAAAATGAATATTACTTACAAAAAGGGCTATTTTCTAAGGGGTCATGTAGTTTAACTGGTACTGTTTCTTAATCAAGAGGAAATCAAATCAACGTTTCACCAGGATGTGATTTTGGTATAAAAATAATTGTTTCTGTTATTCATATTTTGAACAACTACGTATTGTACATGAACAACATGAAAACACACAGTACATGGTGCATCCTGCAGCTACCAGTAAACAGTGTTTTGGATCTCAGAGTTGGATCCCTGTCGTTTCCTTCCTACGCTATTCAAATGAAATGTTTTGAAGTTACCATAATGAAATCAATCCTGTCTTGACTGATAATAATCAGGTAGACTGCTATTCTGTTAATAATAGCATAATAACAGGGGGCGATGAAAGCTGATGTTAGGTTGTTGACCCTGAGCAGAGTGCGAGGGGGCGAGTCCACACATGAAGTGCTCTTAGACTGACGGGAACAGGAAGGGAAGGCGTGTTGTGTGTGGTGATAAAGTGACTGCGAGAGGATCTCCTGAGCTGTAATTATACAGAGGAGGCTCAGCCAACAATTAGACCTTAATCAGGGGTCAGGTGAAGAAACAGTGACTCCATCTTTGCTCACCTGGATCTGGAGGACACTTTGATGTGGTGTTACGGTCGATAATCTCAGACTACGATTGTCTCTGGCTTTTGTTTTCTTTGACTATTGTTTACACAACCACACTTGCACTTATCTGGTGTTTTCTTGGAATATATTTTTGAATTCTTTTAAGGTTTCAGCATTTAAAAACTTTGATTTCTACCCAAGGACACTGTGCTTTGTCATTATAAATGTAGCCTTTAGTGTGGTTTGATATTGATCACAAATATTGTTAAAAACGGTCCATTGTGAGGCCATTACTGAGAGAAAGAGCAATGCCAACTTTCTTCTACAAAACACAAGGATTCACTCGGTTACTGCGGATATCATGTACGTGGGCATTGTAGTTTAGTTCTAGTAACATGCAACACATGCTGCCGTCGATACTCACTCCTAAACTGTGGTAAAAAGGAAAAAGGCAATCTATTTTGGCCACATGTGAAAAGATAAATGAATATCGCAGACAGCGTCAGTAAGTGATGAAGTAATAAGAGACAGACTGATGCATTGTGGGTTTCTGTCTTTTAATGGGATGCGTTGACAACAGAAGGAACACATTAGCTGTTGGAGTCGCACTCACATGATGAGCTCGATGCTGAGGCAGCTCACCTCTTCTCCCCTGCAGCGCTCGTCTTCCTCTTCCTCGGTGCTGGTTTGGGAGTTTCTATCTGTTTGTCTTTCCTGTCAGGAGACGACTTCAGTTTGCTCTTTGTTGTTGATGCTTTGACTTGTTCCTCCTCTTCCTCCTCTTCTTCCTCCTCTTCCTCCTCGCTAGCAGGAATTTCACGACGTTTGACATTAGAAGCCTTTCCTTTTCCCTCACTCTCCTCCTCTTCCTCACTTTCTTTGTCATCCTCTTCCTCCTCCTCTTCTTCATCCTCTGTAACCTCCCCCTTACTCTCTTCTTCCTCACCTTCCTCCTCCTCTTCTTCATCCTCTGTAACCTCCCCCTTATTCTCTTCTTCCTCCTCTTCACCCTCTTCTTCCTCATCCCCCTTACTCTCTTCTTCCTCCTCTTCACCCTCCTGCTGTCCTCATCCCCTTACTCTCTTCCTCCTCCTCCTCTTCACCCTCTTCTTCCTCATCCCCCTTACTCTCTTCTTCCTCCTCTTCACCCTCTTCTTCCTCATCCCCCTTACTCTCTTCTTCCTCCTCTTCACGCTCTTCTTCCTCATCCCCCTTACTCTCTTCTTCCTCCTCACCCTCTTCTTCCTCATCCTCCTTACTCTCTTCTCCCTCCTCTTCACCCTCTTCTTCCTCATCCTCGCCCTGTTCTTCATCCTCTGTAACCTCCTCCTTACTCTGTTCTTCCTCTTCACCCTCTTCTTCTTCCTCCTTACTCTCTTCACCCTCCTCTTCCTCATCCACTGTAACCTCCCCCTTACTCTCTTCTTCCTCACCTTCACCCTCCTCTTCCTCATCCTCTGTAACCTCCCCCTTACTCTCTTCTTCACCCTCTTCTTCTTCCTCCTCCTTACTCTCTTCTTCCTCATCCTCGCCCTGTTCTTCATCCTCTGTAACCTCCCCCTTACTCTCTTCTTCTTCACCCTCTTCTTCTTCCTCCTTACTCTTTTCACCCTCTTCTTCCTCATCCACTGTAACCTCCCCCTTACTCTCTTCTTCTTCATCCTCCTCCTCCTCTTCCTCCTTACTCTGTTCTTCCTCCTCTTCTTCATCCTCTGTAACCTCCTCGTCTCCATCATTCTTTTCATCTTGATCTTCCTCATCTTCCTCTTCCTCCTGAACACTGGCATCATCCTGATTCTCACTTTCGCTCAAATCTTTTTGATCCTCAGTTTCTCCCTCCTCCTCTTCGTCAACCTGGTTTTCGTCTTCTTCCGAGACAGATGCTGAAGTGTCCTCGCTGCTCTCCCTGCTTCCTGACTCTTCACCACTTTCATCTTCTTCATCCTCACTCACCTCACTTTCTTCTTCATGGTCTTCCTCCTCACTGTCACTTCCTTCCTCCTCTGATGCCACACTTTCCTCAAACTCACTCCCTTCTCCACCTGCTTCCTCACTGCTTTCCTCCTCCTCCTCCTCCTCAGCTTCGTTGACCTCACTTTTCTCACTTCCTTCTTCCTCCTCCTCCTCTTCAGCTTCTTTGACCTCACTTTTCTCACTTCCTTCTTCCTCTTCCTCGATGCTGGAGGCTGTTTCCTCCTCACCATCTTCCTCTGCAGTTTCATTATCTTCCTCTTCCTCATCCTCAACAGAAACACTCTCACTTTGTTTACTTCCCTCCTCCTCTGCTTCTTTGTTCTCCACATCACTTCCACTCTCCTTATCTTTCCCTTCATCCTCACCTACACCGCCTTCTCTCACGTGATCCTTGTAGGTTTCCTCATCTTCTTCATGTCCTTGCTGGAAAGCTTTTGCACCAATGTTCACCCCCTCCTGTTGTGACTGAGATGCATCGTTGCTTTCTTCATCCTGAACTTCTTCCTTTGAGCTTTCTTCTTGTGGATTTGAAGAAGAATGTGACAATGTTGTGGAAAAGGAAGGTTGCATAACGGCGCTCTGCTTTGTGAATTGCTTGACTCGGCTGGGTGTTTTGGGGGGTGTAGAGTCAGACTGGAAACCCTGTTCTCTTGTCCCCGCCTCACTAAGGACCCCCATAGCTGCACCTGCTATTCCAACAGCAGGAAGAAGAGAGGCTGCGGTACTGATGATTTCCCCCCACTTTGGCTTTTCTTCAGCGAGGCTCTGAGTGTCCTCTCTGTGGGATCCAGCAGCAAGCAGATCTCTATCAGCAGGTTCAGGGCCCTGCAGGGATTTGGCTCCACCGACGGAAACTACCTCTGTTCTCCGAGTGCTTGGTGAGGAAATAGGGTTACTTAGCACTTCAGCAGGTGTGTCCTGCTGTGATAACAGCGGGCTGGATGCTTCAGTCTGCTTACTTCTGGGCTTTGCCTTCTTATTACCTTCAGAGTCAGCTTCTCCTTTAACTCTGTCGTCATCTTCTTCTGCTCTTGGTTTTATTTGAGTTTCTTTTGCCATCTTTTTGTCTTTTACTTGAGCACTGTCACCTTCAGGTGTCTTCTGCTTACCTGCAGTTGTACTATTCATCTTTTGAGCTTTGTTTAACTCATCTTTCACAACTTTTCCTTTGCCTTTAACGGGCGTACTTCCTGCACTTTTATTTTGTATTTTCCCTGGTAGTGATTTTACACCAGGTCCTTTGTTTTGACCTTTTCCAAGGGCGGATTTAACCTTGAGCGAATCTCTTGATGGAGTTGTTTTTAATCGTCGTGTCTCCTGTTGCATCTCGTCTTCAAAAGGTCTCACCTTAGTGGTTTCTCTCTGAATTTCTTCATGTTTTTCTACGGATGACAAACATTCACTTTGGACAGATATGCTCGTGATGTCCTTTCCCTCTGTTACATGAAACACTTCTTCTTTCATATCCTCTTTGTTTATTATACTTTCTTTCCCATTTCTATTTTCTCTGTCGTCTGCCTTCCCTTCAGCCGTTCTCTGCGGGGCTTCAGTGAGTGTCTTTCGGACAGATTGTGGAGTTTTTGGACTCGGTGATGATAGTTTTTTCGATTTAAAATGGGAAGATTGATTTTGAGCTTCATGACTTTTTATTTGAATGGTCTGCTTTGTAATGTTCTCTTTGCCTTTAGATGAGACCTTTTTGGGTATGTTTTTTAGACTCCTTGGTGGAGTCACTTCTGCTGAAGCCTTAGGAGAATCTTGTTCTGCCTCCCCATTGAACTGTTTGGCAAACAACTCTGCCTCTTCCGTAGTTCCTATAGGAGGCCTGCCTTTCTTCTTGTCCTATAATAAATCATAGAGAGAGGGATTCAGTCAGATGTGAAAATAAAAATAAAGCTGACATTAAAGGTCATATGACTGAAAATACTGTGTTATAAAAATGGAACGTTTTAGAAGTGCAGCAGCAGACCTGCAATCAACGTGTCTGCATGTGTAGTTTTGGCATTTTATGTTTTGTGTCTTTTACTGCCAAAAGCATGTCCGCTCTAGTTTGAGGAAGCAGTTTCTTGTTCAAATACAGACTTCAGTACCTCAAGCCGAAAAGACTATAAGCATTTGTTTGGAGACTATGTTACAGTATTTGTGGATGTCATTTGTTAAAATCTTCTGAAATAATTACCAATATAAATCAGCATTTTTGTTAAAGCACAAGGAACATTATGGGTTTTCTTTGCAGAATAGTCATAATGGGAACACATTATGTCGATGACTCATCAATAAATCTGTCACTAGGTGTAAAAACATATGTGGTAGGAGGTAAAGGAAACCATGGTGATGGTTGAGAGAAGATGAGAGGAATCCTTATTTTTCCAAAGGAACTACATAAAAACAGACGGTGTTTTTTCTGGGGTCAGTCGGGTGTGATGTACAAATGTTCATGTATTCAACTTCATAGCAGACTTTAAAATGCCTGTTCAATAACTTGTGGCGTATACTTTACTTTAGAGATAGTCATATTATACTCGCTTCACTTCAGATTTTTGACACACAATTAATATTTGGATTCTAGAATTTTATGTGAACAGTTTGTAAATGTTGCATATTTCATTGCACACAATTGCTTATTCAGTTAGCTTCTAAGTCCTTAACCTAGTCCTTAAAGTCTCATTTTTAAATGACTTTTTTACCAATTAACTTGTTTCAACTTGTATCTCAATCTATATTAAATAAAACATAACCCATTTAGTACACTTTGCTGATAAAACCTGTGTCAGATTTTGAATGCATGACTTACACTTAATTGGTAGTTTGTCTTAAATAAAGGCCATGTATTCTCCTTCCACCACTGCACATGAATGCACAAGCAGCCACACTTATCATTACAGCTGGACAGAATTGGGATAGTGATGTTCTAAATTACACAACAACGCTGGAGACTCTTTCACAGCTTGCTTCATCTCTAGCTGTGGAAAAACTGATATGATGTGGCAAGATTCCTGCCAACTCTTTCAATGCATCATGTACATGTGTGTGCGAGTTATACAAACTCGCACACACATGTACATGATGCATGTACATGTGTATTTGTTGCTCTGAATCTGGAAACTAAACACAATTGTGTATTGGCAGAAGCAATCCTAATCTCTGAATCTGCTTTGAGGAGATTTATTACACATTGGAAAAAAAGCACACACACACACACACACACACACACACACACACACACACACACACACACACACACACACACACACACACACACACACACACACACACACACACACACACACACACACACACACACACACACACACACACACACACACACACACACACACACACACACACACACACACACACACACACACACACACACACACACACACACACACACACACACACACACACACACACACACACACACACACACACACACACACACACACACACACACACACACACCACACACACACACACACACACACACACACACACACACACACACACACACACACACACACACACACACACACACACACACACACACACACACACACACACACACACACACACACACACACACACACACACACACACACACACACTTCCTGGAAAAGTCAGTGAGTGTTCAACATCGCTGCTTCCTGCCCTGGAGTGCACATAATCTAGACCACAACCAAGAAGCTTGAAGAGAAAAACGTTCCACTGACTCGCCGTTTATGACTCTGTGGACATTATATATTATTTATTTACTCTCCATCAAAGTCAAGAGTTTTCTTACCATATTTGGCCAAAAGTCAGAGTGAGATCCTTCCTCAGACAGATCCTCCTCCACATCTTCTATGGTCATTTGCCTCTGCATAGTTTCTCCTTCTGAAAACAAACAGACAGTGACTTGGTTAATAAACAGCTGCATACATAATCAAACCCAGCTTAGCTATCGCCTAAACAGACATGTGATAAAACTATAGCTTATTATTACCTGTTGATTGCGAAGCAGGTTGCTCTTCTTCCTCACTGAGAAGTTGATTGGAAACATCACTGGAGGGTCTGTTGGGGCTGCAGGGCTCTTTAGGTGCTAAAGGAGATTCTTCAATTAAGGCTTTTTCAGTGGCTGCCTCTTTATACAGACTTTGTTCTGGCGTACTTTTAGGAGATATTGATGTGTCATGATTATTTAAATACTCTGGTGATAGTATGGGAGAAGGCAACTCGGATGTAGACCTATAGGAAGCAGAGGATTTGTTCTGAGAGGTGTTTGATGACTGAGAATGTGGGCTCGATGGTTGAGATGAGATCACTGGAGATCTGGGGGAGAGTGGGGGGCTTAGTGTCACTTCTGATTGTGGTTTAGGGGATGATGTAGGGGTAGTAAAGTCTTTTGAGAGTGTTTTGGGGGTTGGAATATTTCTGGATGTTTGCCAGGAGGTGTTGAGGAAACCAGAATTTAGACGTGGGAGGTTGTGAAACATCTCCTCAGAGATTCCCTGAAAGAGGAGAAGAAAAAACAGCCAAAAACATCAGTGAGTTAAAGATTTGAACCACATCTATGGAGCTCCCCCAACCAGTTAGTAAGTGGCACTGCGGCAGAGCTACAGCTTAGTGTAACACTGCCCCCTACTGGAGTTAGAGTGTCATTACAATCATCTAAAGCTGAGATAACAAATGTTCTACTAAAAAGACCTTTTAATACCACATAGAATGCATCATAATACCCATTTCATTATTGAATAGGTTATAGTAGTAAAGTAAATTGTAATGGAACAGTTTTATTGCTTAGAATGATTTATTATTATATCACATATCTAGGTAAGAAGTTTGCTACAGGTCTGATGGTGCTGAATCCCCACAAAAAGGGATAAAATAGCATCTACTATCACAAAAATCCCACTTTTAGTTTATACAGTAGGTGTCTAAAAAAGTGTGAGAACTTGATCTCGCCTGGAAAATAAGTACCAAGGGGTAGGTTCTCACTTTTTGTCTGTGGCGGGCTCGAGCAGCGATCGCTGAGAGTGGGACGATTAAATTAGGATCAATCAAAGGGTCCAGCAGGAGTTCTCGATAATTTGGCTCCAAAAAGGTATCTGTGATTGTTACATCCTCCTCTGGCAACACTTCTTGACTCTCTGGTGGTCTGGGGGCTGCAGTTACCAGCATGTGGTTTCCACCGCAGGACACCTAAACCAGAGAAAACACATAACTCAGGAAGGTTTATCACGTGTGTTGTGTATGTCCTCTCAATATGCAGAAGCATGGGGTAAAGCTTGGTAAACTGCACATATACAGGTTTTTTTAAGCCAAAAGTGTTTCGGGTATGGAGGACATAACCATCCTGAGATGTTGCTCAATATTCACTTACTATTAGAACATTGTACTTTAGGAAACGTGTGCAGAGGGCCGGGCTGAAGTGGTTGATAAAGTTCTCCTGCCCTAAACCCAGTTTCCCATGACGACAGTTACCAAACGTGTAGAGAAGCCCGCTGTCTTTGGAGGAGGAGGAGGACAATTGCATTAGATAAAGTTTCATTCAATTGCTAGACATTTCAATGATGAAAGGTTGCCAGGCTGTATCATAATGAGCAGAATGAGCTTTAGAGATTGCTTACTTGTGATCACAGCGGTGTGGTTTTCTCCACTGGCGACATGTTTGATACTACTGTTAGAAAAGTGCTCCAGTGGTTTTGGCAAATCGACTTCAAACAGAAATGTCCCGTGGCCCAGCTGACCGTACTGACCTCGGCCAAACGTGTACACGTTCTCCTCTGGCAAAGCAACACAGGCACAATGAAACAAACCACTTATATAAACCGCAGGGGTGGAAAGCATGTACATTTACTGAGCATGTTCATTTACATTTCAAAGAGAAAAACAAATATTTTTACCTCGCTACATGTGTTTGATTGCTTGGGGTATTTAGTCGTTTGCATAGTGCAAAAAACTACAAACCCATTGCTGTGAGAAGTAATTCAAGCTAGTTTTAATAGAAGTCAACTACAATCTAGAATAAGGTGACATTTGTCTTGAAACTAAAGCAGGTCATATTTATCTTGTCGTCTTCCATGATTTTTACAATCTTTTCTTAAATATTCATGTTGGAAACAGCTTGAATGTATCTAATTAGACTACACTGGAGATTTGTGAAAATGTAAAGATTTGTTAATTTAATAAAAAAATAAAATCAGTTTCACCTTGAGTCGCTAACATTAAAGTGTTGCTTACATATATACCATAGTTGATATAAATTAATGAAATGGTCTGTCTGCATAAGGAGTACTTGTTGTTGTTTAGTTACAATTAACTGATAATGTACTTTTACTTGAGTAAAACTTAACTTAACTAAGTGCAGGACTTTCACCTAAGTAAAGGATCTTAAAACGTCTTCCACCACCGATTAACCTAGGATGGCTAGGACGGGAAATGTTTGAATTTGTAATATATCTATAACATAACAGTCAAGTGTGTCCCAGAGAAAGGTGTCAGTAGAAATGTCTCTTATCTGTTCTTCTACCTGTGAGTGCCACGGTGTGCTCGCCTCCACAAGAAACCTGCGTGACATGACCTACAATCCCTTGCACCCGCTGAGGGACTCTGTGATTGGCCAGCTGCTCCTCCTGGAGACCAAGCCTTCCATTCGCGCTATCGCCAAACGTGAAGAGATCTCCGTCCGCTAGAACAACAAAACCAACACAATATTGTTGGTTAAATAGACACTCAAACTGGGTGGGCGGTGTCTTTTGCTGTGTTTGGTTGGACTGTGCTGTACCTGTGACAAATGCTGAGTGGTGGTACCCACAGGAGACCCAGATCACCGCCTCACCAACACCCACCTCTCTGGGTTCTGCTGAAAAACCCTCATCCCCCAAACCAATCTGACCCTGAGAGTTGTCTCCCCACATGAACAGCCTCCCATCCTCTAGCAACACAAACACAGGGAGGCACACTATTATGAGTACATTTGACTACGGAAACAACTCTTACATTATTATTAGTCACTGTTTGAACCTGTTAAGGCAGCTGAGGTATTGCATCCAGCAGAAAGCTTTTTGATTGGTGCATAGCCGCAGAAGGGTTGCAGCAGGAGGAAGGATGAAGTGTTGTCGTGGTGACCCAAACCGAGCTGCCCCTCTTGGTTTCTGCCAGCACTGTAAACACTGCCCTGCCCTAAAAAATGTAATTACAAAACTGAGAACATGTTCAAAGGAACATGTTGGATGTTTTGAAGAGGGGTGGTATGAGGAATCTATTCCTAGCAAAAGTATTACAAGCCCTGAGTCTGGAGAAACACACTGTAGTAATAGACAAAGACAAAACATAAAGAGAAGGCCCACCTACAACAGATCATTTTTTAAACTTAAGTTGCCGTAGTTTTTGACAGGCAACTTATACGCTGTGGAACTTCATTCAACCCCACCTCAAAAGATCCAAACTCACACTTCAAGGAAACATTCTGATATTGTTTAAGTATCATCTTACATGTGGAGACGATTGTGTGATCCCTCCCACAAGCCACAAGCTTCACCTTCTCAGACTTTAAGGCTGAAAGGAAAAAAGTACAATTTTACTGAAATACCACAAAGAATGCTCCTCAGTCTATATTTAAATGAGGGCTAAGACAACAAGTTGATTGATAGTTTAGTCGATTTAAATCCATTAATAGCAAGTTAGTTTGATTATATATTCATTTGCATGAGTAATTATTTGGTTTCAGTTTCTAAAATTGTGAGGGATTTATGTTCTTCCTTATCTAAAGTTATCAAAAAACTGGACATCTTTGGGTTTTGGTATGTTGGTCAGAATAATAAGGTGGAAGAAGAACTCAGATCTTTTATTTAAGCAAAAGTAGCAATAACACATTGTAGAAATACTCGAGCAGTAAAAGTCATGCATTAAAAATGTAAAATTATTTTTAACATATAAATATACTTTAAGCACCAACGTTAATGTCTTCATTAATGTATTCACTTTAATGTTGAAGCTGGTAAAGGCAGAGCTTGTTGAAATGACTGTATACTGCCAAGTACCTCAGAATTATATGGTACAATATTTGTGTCAATGTTTTCATAACTTTGGAAAAAAATATTGATTTTAAAGTTGGGCTTTTTCACTGTTTCCCTGACATTTGATCAAGCGATAAAAGGATTGGCAATTGGCATACTTTTCATTTAAAAGCATAATAAAAATTCACAGTTTAATTGTAAAGTAACTCACCTTTCACAAAGGCAGGTTTGCTGGCAGCAGGCTTAGATCCAATCCCCAGTTGGCCCCAAGTATTACCACCAAACATGAGCAGCCTGCCATTTTCTGCAGGAATAAGAATTGTTCAATCAGGCTATACAGAAAACCCACTACACATAGTAAATATTAATAAATAAAACGTGCAAAGGTTGTATGCACCTGTGGTGACAGCAGTGTGCTCCCAGCCACAGGAGATGTGCACAGGCAGGTCATTCTTCAACCAGAATGTACTAGGCACGTTGTCAGCAAAAGTGCTCTTTCCAAATGTAAAGATGGCTCCTGTTTCTGAAGACAAATGTAAGATTCATTTTTAAACTGCCTTTGATAGGAAAATTAGACACTGTGATGGACCTAAAGGCAACATTAACTTACTCTTCTTTACCTTAACCCCGGCTAAATCCTAACCTGCTGTCAAATCTCAAGCTATTTAAGTAGCAGCCTGACAGAAATAGCACAGGTCAACCATGTGGCATCGGGAGCAGAGGGCCAGGTAAGTAGGCTACGCCTCATAAAGAGTAATATATGTGCCAGGTATTCATGTGTAGAAGTTAGGTATCTCACCGGGTATGTCCACATCGTCCTGTCCGGTCATCTCACTGCATCCCTCTCATCTCCTCACCGTGCGGCTCGGTGCCGACTGACAGGTGGATCAGGATACGTCATAGAGGGGCGGGACTCAGGAGCAACCTGCCCAATGGCTAGCATGGTGAAGTTAGTCACAGGAAACCGATATAAGTTTAAAAAAATGATTGAAACTGTTTTTGTTTTAGCACTATCGATATAACTGCATATTCCTTGATGGTATCTCATGATCCATCTGTCGTTGAGGTGATTTGTGGTTGCGTTCGTGTTGTGTGTCTGTCTGTCTGTCTGTCTGTGTCTGTCTGTCTGTCTGTTTGCAGGATAACAGTTTGCTACTCTGTTCCACAAACATTTTTAATCGTGTGAAATTTCAGTAGCGGTGCTCTGTGGGTAACGTTTTTCAAAGATTATGTTTACGGAAGCAGGGTGGATAGGGGAGAAGGGGGTAAATTGAGACAGTGGGTAAATTGAACCACCCCCTGTAACCAGGCAACGCCTTATAGTTGTAATCACGTGACCAGAAATTATGCAAGCTCCTCCCATTTCTCATTGCCTGTGAAAGAGAGATGCTTGTGGTCTGGTAAGTAACATTTTTTACAAAAAAACGTTTTTTGCTTGTCAAAGTAAATGTTCTAGATGTCAGCTATATCGGCTGTCATGTAAAAAAAAATGTATCCAGGTTTAAACAAATATATTGTATATGTTGATGTGTTGGCAGCGTATTAAACCATGTGAGTCATTAAGCTAAAGATGACTCTGAATTTTAATGCTAGGCTATTTTTTCTGAAATGGTGGCTATGGGGTAAAGTGAGCCGTGGGCCTTGGGGTAAGTTGAGCCAGTTTTTCAATGGAGAAATTAATGAAAGTAGGCCAAGTTGATAATAAGAGCTCATTGTAGGCTACATTTAAAGTTGAATTTACCCTGTGTTTGATTGGTAAGATGTATGAAATTGTAATTGTATGATTACTTTTTCTTTTATTAACTTGTTAAAAAAAAATCAATCAATTCAATCGAAATTTATATTAAAAATATTTGAAAAACTAAACTTGTATTTGGTTTGTTATTTATTGTTTAAAGTTACCTTTAAGATTTGTTGTAGGTATGCCCAGGTTTGAACAGGTATGCCCAAGTTTGAACAGTGGTTCAATTTACCCCCTGACCTGGATCAACTTACCCCTTACCCGGGGCAAGTTGAGCCACAAAACTCTTTTTTTTTTAGAAGTAATATTTTCACTGCCCTTGATCAAATATTAATTCTCATCATTGCCTTTGATAGGAGACATCCTGAATTATAGGTGTGTGCTTTCATTTTTACTATGTGTCATTTCTCCTTGCTTAGCCTGTTAAACCCCAAGGACCCTCCGAAGGGTCCGAAAATGCTACATCTGCTAGCACCAGTGTGATCTCTGAAGTGTCATTTATGAAACTATTAATGTTCCACACCCAGCTGACGGGAAGAAACTCAGCTAACTGACTATACGAAAAAAGAAAAAAAAAATAATAATAATAATTCCCACAAGAAGCCCTTAGCAAATACGGACTAATGCTATTTCTGCTCATAACTCACAAAAATTATCATTTATAATTATACTTTCTGCACAAACAACACATCATCTGAAAGCTGAGATTCCACAGATTCCATTGGCATAGGTCTCATCACTGCACGGCCAGAACTCACTGAGCTAGCAGCCAGAACATAGCAAATAAACAACATCAGTTGTCAAATCCATGACAATAATTAGCAGGTTAAATTTTACAATAATATTTTTTTTTTTTTTTTTTTTTTTTTTTTATGGAATGAATAACTATAGTGATGATTCAATGTTATAAAATGATTTTTACAGTCTGGTACCTGAAAAAGGTCAAATGGCACTGATGGAACCAGATGTGCCCAAATGTGCCCAAAGCTTATTCCGCCTGGAATTTTTTTCCCTAAATCTCTCTAAAAAGGTCAATTTTCACTTGTTTTGCCTCAATCTTGATACAGGGTACTTATTATATGTTATCATTTTGATTCATAAAGCTTTTAGGCTACTAACCCATCATTCAAGGGTGGTTTTCACTATAAGTAATGGTTTTTTGTTAGGCGGAGGTAAGAATTTACACTTTTTTACTATGTTCCATCTGAATTCACTCTGACACAGAAACATCTATATTGATTCTGACACTTCTACATCCATCTCACAGATGTAACCTTGCTTTGAGAAAAAAGATGATTAATTTAACCCTTTTAGAAGTGAAGTTATAGTCATTTGTTCTGGGCATGTCATTTTCGAGCCTGAAACCTGAAAAACAGGCTTGGGGCTTAATTAGAGGACAGCATAACTAAAAAATGGCTCAACTTACCCCACTGTTTCTCGTCACATGACAAGTGGTGCTGGCTGCTGCGTCCCAAAAGTTTAAATACTTTCAAAAGAAGGACACAGCCGCATGATGTGTACGGCCCAAGCGGCAAACTCTGGGGAAGAGCCGGGATGCCAATACGGAAGTGCCACAAACTGCAGTTCATATATTGGCCGATATGCGATGACTGAAGAAAGGAGCAATTTCCATAGACCCCCATGTTAAAATGCCCAATTTTACAGCAGAAAAAAACATGTTTCTAGCCCTGGATGCAATAAATATTATTATAGATATAGTTAGATTCCACCTTCATGATTATGAATCTGTGAGTGAATTGTTTTCTAACATGACCCGTTTATTTATATTAGGTCTTAAAGTGTTTGGATAAATTAGGGCGTGGTCACATTGAGTGACAGCTCTGTCAAGTGACTGCTGCTGTTAGCTTCTTGTCTCTCTGCTAGCTGCTCTGTGAAGCTACAGGGACTCTGCCTGCTCAGTTCATCCAGGGAACACAACTTGACCCCGGCCGTGTTTGTTTGTTCTTCATGCTTATATATCGGACTATTGTGACTCGCTCTGCGGTTAAAACAGACGGTGCATGAATGCCGTTTTGCGGTAAGTGAAATTCGAGTACTTTATTTATGTGTTTATGATTTCAATCAGCTACGTAATGAATGTTAAAGGTGGGGTTGGTAATTTTGGAGAAACCAGCTCGAGTGTGCTAGAATTTGAAAATACACAGCCGGAAATAATCTGCCACTTCTTTACAGAGCCCCTCCTCCAACACACACGAACGCGCACATGACCAATGAGGGCACGAGATAAGTTTGTGCACAGATGGAAGGCTGACAGGCAGGTAGGCCATCCAGTTATTTTAGCCGGGCCGGCTAAAATGATTGGTCGTGCTTTTTACAGTACTACGGCTTCCACAGATGACTTTTTTAATGGATTTTTTGTCAAAGCACTTAAGATATTCATTGCTATCGGGATGTTAAGAGCATTCCATGGAATATAACAAAAAGTGTATCTCGAGCCGGTTTCTCAAACTTACCTACCCCACCTTTAAGGAATGGGTTAGCGTGTAAGCGAGTGGTAGCTACATCGGTGCTAACGATGCTAATCGTAGCCTCCAAGTTAACTTAAAACCATAGACTATATATATAAAGGTTAAAACGAAATAGACAAGTGTTAAGCGTTAAGTGGGATAATACTGTAGAACAAACGGCTTCTGTTTGAGGTTGATAAAATAAGGTCATCCTTGTAACTTAGAGAGATATTTTATTATGTAGGTAGGAACTGTATGCATCTAAGGTTAATTTAAATAGGCTATGCTCAAGTATGTAGACAAGCTAACGTCGAAGTAGTGTATGTGAAATCAACCTCACAATAAGATGTGTGTATATTACAATTATTAATGTCATATTTCAAGATGATTACTTGGATATTACAATATGGTTGGTTGAGCTGGAGTTCATTATTGAGCTTACACGTTAACGTCACAGTCATCTGAAGAACGAACCCAAACCGTGTTGTTTTTATTAATTGCATTACCAAATTGGTATCAAATAAACAGTAAGCATTGGTAACACACAACTTCCAAAGTTACAGTAAAATAAAAAGGACCCTGACTCGGACAATACACAATCCAACATGTTCAACAGAAGAGAATAAGTTATATTGTTTGTACACATGGTTCTTTACATATATATATCTGTTTGTTTAAAGTGTCCAGGTGATGCAGACAGGCTGGACCAGAGAGTGAGAGACAGAACTGGACTCCTCACAGCAGTGAACTTCAGCACAGGTACAAATACTCTTTTTTCATACTGTACAAAGAATCAAGAAAGATATTGGTTTAAATAAATGAAGTATTGACTTTAATACACTGATATACATTCCATTAAACAATACTAAATACTAGATCACCTACACATCAGTGAAGTTGAGGGGGTTTTCCATGCAAAAGGTTACATTTAGATGTTAACAAGCAATATGACTTTGTCAGCTTTCTAATTTAATGTATTGAAGGCAAAGATATTTAACGCATAGTGACAACTGCTATTTATCTCTCAATATTGTCTGTAAAAACGTGGTAAAAGTTATTCTTTCAGTGAGACAACAGAGCAAGCTTCTACAGTTGCACTATGTTTTAATAACAGTTAAATATTATTTTGATAATAAAATACATTTCAATGTTGATGAATTTCATACTGTTCATTCATAATCTGATTGTCTTTGTAGCTCACTGTTGAAACTTAAAAAAACATTACAATTACAAAATAATTATATCTACAGCCCCTAAACACAAACACACCTCTTTCATAAATAACACACTTGTTCTGCAATAATATGTTTTATGTTTCCTGTGATTTTTGTTAGGAAAGGACATACCTGAAAGACACGACTCAGCATCTCCTCTTTCTCCGAGGGTCAAGAAAAACATCCAATAGGAAAATTAAAAGCTGATGTTATGAGATGTTAAGACCAGTACAGGACATTCACTAAGAAACTACTTTTATTGTGAAAACACAGTCAGCTGATCGAATGCACCTATTTCCACATCTACACTCCATCAGCTGATTATTTCTATTTGCCTCACTTTATGAGCTTCACAACATGTACCTTCTACCGCAGAGTTTGCAACGTCACAAATAAATGGGGCCAATCTTCAGTCGGATGTGAATGTGTAATCTA